GGTGTAGCTCCCCCTTGATCCACGCAAGGTTCAAGTGCTCTCTATGGGTTGATTCTTCGACACTCTGTCGCGGTGAATCACCCACAACCGCTCACAACTTGAGTTAGGTCATCCACAAGCTCCGCCGGATGATCACCAAACTCCTAATCACCACCAAGCCATCTAGGTGATGGCGATCACCAAGAGTAACAAGCAAGAACTCTCACTTGACCACAACAAGCCTAATGAGAAGGGTGGATGCACACTTGCTACTATCTTTTCACTAATGAGGCCTTAATCTTAGATTCTCAAATCTCAATCACCTCACTAGGCTCTTGCTCTCCTCGGCACTCTCAAGGGTGTTTCTTAGCTGTTCAAATGGGCAAGAATACTCCCTTGAATGAATAGAGGAAGTATTTATACCCCCTCATTCAAAATGAACCGTTATGTGCTTGAGTCAGCACTCTGCGGGGTGACCGGACGCTCCGGTCAAGGTGACCGAACGCTCCGGTCAGTTCTCCCCGCCACAGAGCCGTTAAGTTGTGACCAGACTCTAACCTGTGTCCGGTCACGAAAACTGCTCTCTGGACCCTTACTGATGTTGACCGGACGTTGGCGCCTAGAGTCCGATCACTTTGTTGTTCAGCGTCCGGTCAGCAACCGGAACCTGACCAACATCCGGTTAGCACTGACCGGACGCGTCTGATCAGGATTCTCCCTCTCTGGAACCTTACTGGAGTTCACCAGACTCTGGCACCCAGCGTCCGGTCACTTTTCACTCAGCGTCCGGTCGCATCCAGATGACTTCACTTGATCAAATGAACTAATCGGACTCTACTGCCAGTGTCCGATCACACCGGGACCAGCGTCCAGTCAATATTTGACCCTCCATTCTCTTCCAACTTGAGATCATATGTGAATGAAGTTTTCTCCAATTGATCTTAGGGCTACTTTGGAGCTACCTAGTGCTAGATTTGACAAGTGTGCACCACACCTAACCCACTAGACTTACCTAGGTCAAGCTACTAGTTCATACCCCCTTAATAGTACGGCCAGAGGAAAAACAAAGTCCTAAACTACTCTAAGTGTCTCTTCAACACCAAACGACACTTAGAACTAGTCCATCCTTAACCTTGTTGTCCATCCTTTGAAAACCGAAATGATTTCCATCGTAGGGGCATAACAACCATGATTGCCCAATCAATTGCCATTACCACGACCTAACTTAATTGCCTATGCAAAACACACATTAGTCATAGTAATCTCGTATTGTCATTAATCACCGAAACACAACTAGGGGCCTAGATGCTTTCACTACCGCCCGGGGCAGTTCTGAGAGTGTGTTCACCGTGGACCACGGGATCTAGATCTCCAGGGCGGAGGTCCAGGCCATGGCTGAAAGCGGACGCGGGTGCTAGCCCTTCGACGTCGATGAACTCGTAGTTTTTGTGGCAGATGTGGCCGCCGTGGGCCATTCCGCGAGCGAGTCCACCAACGGTGCGAGGAGCCATCACTTCATTCTCAACAATCGAGAGTGCGCGACTATCCCCTACCTGGCGCACCAACTATCGGTGTTTTGTAAACCAGCTCTAGGAAGACGATGGTAGCATCCAAAAGACATGAGGGTTTATACTAGTTCGGAGCTCTATGTCCAGTCTCAGAGATGATCGAGTGCGTGTTCCTCGCTTGAATGCTCTGAAGTTCTTACAATGGGGGTGCAAGAATGGTGGAAGAGATAGGAGAGCTAGAGCTAGGAGACGGGCTGTCCAAAGGGAAGTTTTAGAAACCCTTCTACGGTGTAAGAATGAGTGAATCAAATCAGGAAGGGTGCCCTAGCTGTCCTTATATAGAGTTCGGGGCCAGGGCATGTACAAAGAAGAAGGTTCTTCCGACCAAAAGATCGTGAGCCTGAGGGAGGATCTAGCTAACTTGGCTTTCAAGCTACACAGTCTTGTGGTGTACATCCGGGCGTGGTTATTGTCATGGTCCTATGGCCATGTCATGGCATGGTGTGACGTGGTGCTACTGTGCCGGCCGTGGCGGCACTACAGACACGGTGGTGGTTCGCCAGCCATCCTATGCGACGTGGTCACCATCGTGGTCTTCGTCATCACCTCCTGGTTTCCTGGAGCGTCGTACAGGAGTTGGTAGCCGCCTCCAGGTCGTCGGTCGCCCTGTTGGCTTGAGGAGCTGAGGGCCACAATCCCGATCATTGGGGGCGTGACTCCCGTCGGTCTGGGTGGCCTCTAAGTCAAGGCCATCGTTGTAGATCCCAACCCGTAGTGGGTAGAATCGTACATGCATCTTGTTGGGCCGTATTTGGCTGGTGGGCATCGTACCGGTCGTCACCGTTTTGGGCGGTGTTGTCTTGTCTGAGCTGCGTGACGTAGGGGTGGCGTCTGACCTGACCGAGGTGACCGCTGTCCCATCGATCCTTGCGGGGTCAGCGTATCTACTCTTGTCAGAGCAGGCGCGCTTGATCAGGCTCGACCCCTCCCCGTTCCTCCTATGGGTCGGAGCGGTGGGAAGGTCATGAGTCTCTTGCGCGTCGTATGGCTAAGTCTGATGAAGGGGTCGTCTTGGCGCTTGGCCTGGTTTTCTTGGATCAGCTGAGCCTCGGTCATTCAGGCTCTTGCTGGCTGATGTATCGTGAGCCGCTCAGCCTGCTAACTAATCGGTATCTTGAGACATCTCAGGGTTAACCCCGACACACTTACTACATTGATACGGTGTAGTTGTCCCAGTCAACAGCTACGTACTTCCCTGAGACGTGGACCTGTCTACCTCTCTCTGCAGTAGAGGTTACACGTCTCCTTCCCCCTACCCCTCACTCTCTCCCATAATTGAGTACTTCATTCCTTTATAATTTAGGTCACATCGGCGGATCTACAGAGGGGCGACAACAAGAAGACTGCATTGCTGACGGCAAGGAGATGAGCTACTGCCTCATAATCGTTGGCAATGAGCTCCATGGTCGTTCATAGAAAGCTCAGTGGTGAGTTCTGTAGCGCGATTGATAGTGTGGATCCAGGGGCTAGATGGTGAGGATATGTTTTTTATTGATTTGCAGAGGTGGTCAAAAGTAACCGTCCAAGTAAATCTCCATTAACAGGGACCTTAGCATAGAGACAGAGTCCTGAGTGGCCTCTGAATGACTTTTGCCGGTCTCTGAAGTTAAACAAATGTAGTAGTACTATAGGCGCATGGGATCGTTGTATCATCCATCATTGAGACCTTGCTCGTCCGATATAGTACAAAAACTTGGCATGGCCTGAGGTCCCCTGTGAGCAGGATCATTGTATCATCTGTCAGGTGAAATGAAACAACCGGCAAATCATTCCATGATGACTAGAAACATGACAGGATTGCCTTGTCCGATTCGTGTTGGGTCAGGATTCTTGCCTAAGCTGAATTTGGGAGTCTTTGGTGCTTCCCCTATAGGAAACCCGATGGAGAGAAGTCCACGCCTCCCTCATAAATAGTAGATGATGGTGACGATCGATTGACAACACACACAATCAAACAAAAACACATCTTCCACATCATTTTGCATATAGTGTTTCTTATTTCCCCCAGCTGTTGTGGTTCTTGTTCTTCATTGCCATCTAATACATTAATTGTTGCAATGATCTACAAGGCTCTAGGGGCGGCTAGAGGCTGACCTAGGGCAGCCCACGGCCACCACACACCCTGGCGAGGTTTGTCGCAGGCACATGGGATTTCGGATTCTTAAGGAGCTCTCACTGGTGTGTCCTGCGAGCTCCCGACAAGACTCTCCTTGTGACATGTTTTTTGCATTGTACTTGTCGTCGGGTACATGTTGATGTGTTTTTGCGTGTACATTATCGTGAGTGTTGCCATTTGTCAAGTGTTAATAAGTTCCTCGCACGTTGGCCTACCACACCAGGAGGCCATCTCCTGTTATCCTTTGATGTGGTAGGGAGAGCTCATGGTGAAAGGGAAAAAAAGAACTAGTAACAAAGCATAGTTATCAAAGGGAAAGTGTGTGTGGCAACAATTACTTCACCTTTCTATTGGCATCATGCCATTCCATGCCCAATGCTGCTGCATGCCGCCCCACTGTGAACTGAGAAGCGAGCAGAACGAGTTGACCCCAACAAATACTATTCTAGGTTGATTTAATATACTAATCTTGGACATGACTGATGATGTGATGTGCTGCAGAGCTGGACATGACACCTTGACCAATCATGGAAGCTAAGGCCCGGATTCGCCCTCTATATATCTCTGGCCGCAGAAATCAAATTGAAATGCATGTACTATACCTACTCGTAATGTTGCAGTCATAGTCAAACTGAGAGCCTGAGAGGAGATATATATAGGGAGCAAGGCCATGGACGCTTTCAGTGCCTCGGTAACACGCCCTAGAATCTTTTTGCCTCTTTGCGGAAGGAGCTGGAGTGAGGCAGAAGCAAAAACCCTGGCTGCCTGTAGCTGGTTTACAGCACAGTACTCATTCAACAGTTTGCATCAATGTCCCCTCTCTCCCCTACGATTCAGATTCACGGTCATCAGATTTAGTACTACACATGTTGCGACCATGCATCTCTTTGGCTGGCTGGATTCAGGTGTCTTGTCGTGGAGAAAGGCACCTGCACGCCTTGCAAATGCATGTCACTTAGTCTTGCCCAGAATGGCTGCCATTGTTCTGACGGTATCTTGGCTGTAGCATCAATTGCGTGCCGCTTCTGCTCCATCTCGGCATGCACCTCTATCCATCTGATATCTATCTGTCCGAGCAAACAAACGAGTTGCTTTGATTACAAAGCTCCGCTCTCTCATGCTGTCCTGTTGGCAGCCAGCCAATGTGCTTTATTTGCAAAAATGAGAGCAAATGAAATGTGCAAAGAGCTAAGGTAACACTATGCAGTATAGGAGTATACTAAGTATTATATATACAAGCAAGGTGCTGGTTGCATATGCATGTTTCATTTAGACACAAAAATACTACTATCTAGCTGCCTGCCTACAAGACCACACCACACCGCGGGCCACCCACAATGGAGAGTAGTGGAGACCACGGCCGCCGCCTCAAGCCGTTGCAGCCGTGGACGACGACGATGCCGGCAGGCCACAACTTCAGCCTGGCCGCTGGCTGCTTCCCGTGGCCGCCGCCACTGCCGTCGTCCTGCTACACCTGCGGGTACTGCAGGCGGGAGTTCCGGTCGGCGCAGGCGCTGGGCGGCCACATGAACGTCCACCGGAGGGACAGGGCCAGGCTCCGGCAGTGCTGCTCGGCGGCCTCGGCAGCGCACGGTCCATCTTCCCTTCCGAGCCCCAGCCTGATGACCGCGCACCACCAGCACAGCAGAGCTCCGCTTCCCAACCTCAACTTCTCGCCGCCGCACCGCGCCGCCGGCGGCTCGATGGCTGCCGCCGACCCCGTCATCTACAGCTTCTTCTCGGCGACCACGACGTCGGCCGCCGCTGCGGCCACGAATAAGGCGGCCCTTGAGGTGAGCTTGGAGCTGGGGATTGGGGTCTGCGGCTGCGGCAGCGGCCGTGGTGGTGGTGTTGTCGAGGAGGACGGGCTGGATCTTGAGCTCAGGCTCGGGTGCGCCTGGGAGTGATGAGGCACACGTAGTATGTCCTAGGTGTGAACCATGCATGCGTGCAGGTCGGTGCAGGGTTAAATGGTCGTTGTAGTTGCCATTATTATGTGAACCTTATTTCCTTTTATTAACGTACCGTGTCTTCTTCCTCCCTCGTCCATGTCTGAAGTCTGAACTATGTGCATGAGCTTGCTATTGCTAGTTGATGAGCCATTATGTTAACCTTATGTCCTTATAGCTAGCTATATATGTTGTGCTTTGATCAGTGGCTGTGGTTCCATTTCGCTCTTTCATGTTTGTGGTTGTGTTTTCTTTTCAAGTTGAAACGCCATGTTTATTTAATAATTACCAGTACAAGGTTTCTGAGACTAGGTATACCGATATGTGGGCAACACACTGTATAAAGTGATGATATGGAAATGCCTCTAGCTAGATCAACTGTGACAATATGGAAACCCTTTTCTAAAATTTTGTAATAGTTTAAGGCCTTTTGTTTGAATGTTGTTGGATTCACTCAGTCCACATGTGTTGTGGTGGAATTATTAGTTCAAGTTCCACTCCAATCTACCTAACAGATGTGGATTGATGCGAATCCGACTACATCCAAACAAGGCCTAAATTGTTTCAAAATCAAAACCAGGAAAATATAATGCATGCTTAAGATTTAAGTGAAGAGTATAATCTTGAGTAGGACTCAAACTATAGGACTAAAAGAAACACATAGGTGAATCAGAACCAAAATAAATGGCACTTATGCTGCTTAATTAGTTCAGTATAAATTTATTTTCTGAGGATTATTGCATACTTCACATATGACTAGTAATAAGGAACAATGCTTCAAGGAGACCACACAGTACCTTATATGTAGAGCATGATTATGATTGACTGCCAAAGCATTTCCTTTTTCAAGTGTATGGATACTGGAGTAGAAATCAAGGCCCATGGATGGATACTGGGCTATTGGCCCATCTTTGGTTCGGAAAAGGTACTGCGCTCCCTCCTCTTCAGAACCCAAATACTACTTCAATTCATTCATGGATCATGGATGCAAAATGCCATGACCGAGGCGGAAAGCGCAAAAGAATATAGGAAGCGGCTAAATTAGGGCAGGCCATAATTTGGCTTATCGCACGGCCTTTCCTTTTCGGGGCTTAAGCGTTTTTATCCCTGTTTTAAAGCGAAATTGTGATTCTATCCTCGTTTTTTTAACTTTGTGATTTTATCCCGGCGATTTCGAAACGAAGTGAGACTTTAATCCTATTCTGTGAAGTGCACCTAACGGTGTTAACTTTTAGACCAAATGACAACTTTGCTCATGCGTTTTTACCCCTGTTTTATTTTGATATTTGTGTTTTTACTCCTATTTTCACGTGAGCAATTTGGCAATTATGATATAGAATTATACAATTCAATCAGTGCAAAACTAGTAGTTTTCACATAAAAAATATGGTAACATTGCACAATCCTCCAAACAACCATAGTATGTGGCGTGACACTTTAGTGCCCCAACCTTTCGGTGAGATGAGATGTCTTCCAATTGTGAGGGTAACTTACACGATCCAGGCTACTGACTAAGAGGTTCCAATAGCCGAGCAACTGCTGAACCAACCCTTGAGATGTTGTCAGCCTAGCCAAAACCAAGCTGACCTAACCACTAGGGTATGTTCCTGCAAGAAATGGAAGAAAACCAACAAGAACAAGGTGCAAGCAATCTGAAATTGTAAGTATGTAGTGAAATATTAAGATAGGGCTTTGAGTAGAGGTTGGTCTGTTGGTGTAAGGTCGAGATGGCGGACTAGAGGGGGGGTGAATAGTCTTTTCTAAAATTAATCGCGTCGGCTAACCGATATAAATGCGGAATTAAAACAATCGGTCTAGCCAAGACTACACCCCTTTATATATGTTCACTAGCACCTTGCAAAGATACTAATAAAGCAACTAATGTGCCGGGCTAGCTAGAGCTCTCCTAAACAATTCTAGGAGCAAGGTCACACAAACCTATGCCACTAGTACTTTAAGTAACAAGGGAGCTCCTACACATGCTAGTAAGCAAAAGCACAAAGCTAACTAAGCTCACTAGCAATGCTCAATAACAAGGCAACCAATGCCTAATTAGAGAGCGCAAATACTTAGCTACACAAACTAAGCAATGTGACTAACAAGGTTACTAAAACCAAATTAGCCACATTAAAGGAGCTACTTCTATGCTACACAAGCAAGAAGGTAATTAGCTAGCTACACAAGCTATCTAATTACAAGAGCAACTACACAAGCTTAAGATATATATATAAGTAATTGCAAGCTTGTGTAATGGGGATGCAAACCAACGGGAAGAACAAGGTTGACACGATGATTTTTCTCCCGAGGTTCACGTGTTTGCCAACACGCTAGTCCCGTTTGTGTCGATCGCTCACTTGGTGGTTAAATGGCTAATTAGCATCACCCGCTAAGCCCGCACGTCGGGCACCGCAAGAACCTACCCCTTGAGTGAGGGTAGCTCAATGACACGCTTTACTAAAGTTGCTCTTCGCGACTCCCACGGGTGAGCACAAGTACCCTCACAAGCACTTCTCGGGAGCCGCCGACAAGCTTCTTGCGGGCTTCGACGAAGACCACCACCAAGCCGTCTAGGAGGTGGCAACCTCCAAGAGTAACAAGCACCACCGGCTTGCAACACGACCACCTAGTGCCACTCGATGCAACCTCACGATGCAATCGCACTAGAATCGCTCACTCACACAATCGAATGATCACTATCAAGTATATGTGTGATGGAGGGCTCCCAAGCACTCACAAGTATGGACACTAAGTCCCTTGAGGTGCTCAACGCCAGCCATGGCTGAGGGCCACTTCTATTTATAGCCCCAAGGGCTAAACTAGCCGTTACCCCTTCACTGGGCAACGGTCGGGCCGACCGGACGCTCCGGTCGTGTTGACCGGACGCTGGACCTCAACGTCCGGTCGCCCGCAGACGGCCACGTGTCCTAATTCCAACGGTCACTTGACTTGACCGGACGCAGCAGCTTTCAACTGACCGGACGCTGAACCCCCAGCGTCCGGTCGTTTCCAGTAAGGTACCGACCTCGACCGGACGCGTCCGGTCACACTTGATCGGACGCAGCCAGCGTCCGGTCACACTCTAGCTTCTGCGTCATTGTACGTCAGCCTGACCGGACGCAGCCAGCCAGCGTCCGGTGCATTCAGATCCAGCGTCCGGTCAGTTGACCGACGCTAGCATCTTCGCGGCTAACTCGTTTTCACTTCTAACTTCATCACCCTTGCTCCAATGTGCTAACCACAAGAACTTGCATCCGGCGCAATAGAAAATAGGCATTCTATTTTCCCGAAAGCGCCGAATCCCGCCGAGCTTGCGAGGCGGGAGGGAGAGAGGGACCCAAACCCATCTCACCCCTGCAAACACCACCTCCTTTGTAAATGTGCCAACACCACCAAGTGTACACCACCATGTGTATGTGTGTTAGCATTTTCACAATCATTTCCCAAAGGATGTTAGCCACTCAACTTGCCACGCCACTCGATCCTAGCGACAATGCAAAGTTAGATCACTCGAGTGGCACTAGATGACCGATATGCAAACAAGTTTGCTCCTCTTGATAGTACGGCCATCTATCCTAAACCCGGTCATAAACTTCTCTACACACCTATGACCGGTGAAATGAAATGCCCTAGGTTATACCTTTGCCTTGCGCATTCCATTCCATCTCCTTTAATGTCGATGCAACACATGCACCAACACGATCAACAATGATATGATCCACTTCATATCATCACATGATCATATTGGTTCATCGATCTTGACTCTACTTGCTCTTCACCGTTGCTATCGTCCATCGGCGCCAAGTCTTGCTCAAGCTTCACCGCCACGGGTCCATCACTCCAAAGCCTTTGACTTGCCCTTCACGCTTGCAACCGGTCCATCAAGCCAAGTCTTGTCTTGATCTTCTCCACCTTGATCACATGACTCAATGTCATGTCTCATATGCAATAAGCTCCTTCATCATCACATGTGTGAGCTTTGCAACATCTCCAAGCCATTTTCACCTCCATGGCATATGTTGCTCATACACATGTACCTGTGGACTAATCACCTGTGTATCTCACATAAACACAATTAGTCCACCTAGGTTGTCACTCAATTACCAAAACCAACAAGGACCTTTCAATCTCCCCCTTTTTGGTAATTGATGACAACTCTACAAAGATATGGAAATTAAGCTCTTTTGGATTCATGTTGCTTGCCCAAGCAATTTTATCATGTGAAAATGATTTTGGACAAGTACCACAAACCCGAAATGGTAGTATTAGCTCCCCCTACATATGTGCTAGTGTATTTAATTTGAAGCTTGCACATATGCATAGATTGAAATTGTGGGAGAGTAAATACTACAAAATGATGCTAAATTGTATAGAATAAACCTTTGAAGCATGTACCAATCGTAGTTGCACCTTTAAGTTCATCCTTAGCACCATGGTTAGCTAGATATCACTTGGAAATAAAAGCACTAGATACCTCATTAGATCAACATTAAAATCAAGGTACTAGCATTACTTAAAGAATATACCAAGTGTCTAGCTATCATCCTATGCATGCTAGTTATCAAATCATCATTCAAGTTATTTAACTAGCATACACCACACAAGCATGCATATTGAATTTAAGAACATATGCGATGCAAGCAAGCACATGAATATGCACATATCAAATGCAATCAATCAAAGTTTATGAGCTTGCTCCCCCTACTTGTGTGCTTCTCTTGTCCAAGAATTTTGATCCATCTCTTTTCTTCAATGTTGCTCCCTCTTTGTCCATGTCCAACTTCTCCCCCATTCAATCAAGCTTTCATATCTTTGTACAATCTCTCCTCCTTTGTCATAAATTTCCATAAAAGGTATGCTTCTTATTGATGCAAAGGTATACTCTTTGGGGTAGATGGTTGAGACTTGCATTTTTTATGGACATTACTTGAATATCGGAATGACACCACAAGTAGATACCA